GCGGGGAGGAGGCCCGGCAGGGAGGAGGCTCGGCGGTGCCGGATGGAGCCACCCCGCCAGGCCATGGGGAGGCCCCGCTCCACTAACTAAGGGCAGATCCCTGTTTAGGGCGGTAAGAACTTCCTGGACCCAATGGCAGCGGGGAGCCCATCATGCTGTATAAACGTGTCATTTCCTGCGGCTCATCCTTAGGGCTCCAGAGGCTTTTCAAGAAAAAGGGAAAAGAAAGACCAAGGAGACCAGCAGGGAAGCCTGGGGGTGAAGGCCCTTCCCTGTCTCGGCACACGAGCCGCTGGAGAGGGCGGGCAGGGCCCACAGGAGCGGACGGCGCGTGAGCGTCTGGGGTCGGGGGGAAGGGGACAGGGTTAGGGGAGCCGGAGGAGGCTGAGCCGTGTCACGTGAGTGTGCCCACCGCTCCCGCGCTGTCTGACGATGGGACGAAGTGCTGGCTTTGCTGAAGGCACCCGAGATCACAGAGCCCCCCAGGGTGCAGGCCGGGCTTGGTTGGGGGGGGTCCAGGCTGGGTTCTGACCCCTACACACACCCCTCCTGGAATCCTCTGTGGGGTCTCAGGGACCAGCACGCAGGAGGGGCCAGGCCTGTTAGCTCAGGCTGGGCAGTGGCCCCCAGGCCCTCCTCCTTGCTCCCCAGGGGGACGGGCCAGCTGGGCCAGGAGTTCTAACTGAGGGGCACTTGAGCCACTGCCCCTGGCCGGGGTCACGCCAGTCACAGCACAGGCCCCACCCACCCTGGCCAGTGGGTGAGAACAGTGTGGCCTGTGCTGGCTGAGGTCTCGACCTGCCCTCCCCTGTCGGTGGCCACGGCAGCCCCACCACTCACATCGAGGGCTCCTCCACCCACCCTCAGCTACCAGACACATAAATGTGGGGGCCCCCCCGCCCTCCAGCCTCGTTTGCACTCTGGGTCCATTCACATCATCCGGGCCTGGACATCACGTGGACGGCCTTCCGTCATCACCCATGCCCGACGCCAGCACCTCCCACCCGGACTTCCCTGAGAGCCGCCACCTGCAGGAGCAGCTGCCCTTGTCCTGCTTGCTCAGACCCACCAGGAAGGAGCCCCATGGCCCGGCCTCCAGCACAAAGCTCGCCCAGGATGCTCCATGGAATGAGCGAGGGAGGGAACGGTCTGGGAGAGGCACCGACCCCTCCTCCGCGCCACCCTGCACGTGCACACGCGCACACACACGTGCGTCTGTGAGCTCCTCCCGGAGCGGCCCTCTCAGGGTACAGGGACAGGCAGACCTGTGGCTGAGTCACCACCGTGTGACCAGGGCGGGGACACAGCAGGTGAAGGTGCCACCCAGGCCAGGCTGCAGGGCTGACTCTGCCCCGACTCGGAGCACTTCTGGTGCCCAGTACGAGCCAGATGACCCACATCCCACCCAGACCCTGGGCCCTGGGCAGGGGGCCAGCTGCTCACCTCGGCCACAGTCCTCGCCCTGGTAGCCGGCAGGACACTGCTCCCCACACTTGCCACTCACGGGGTCACAGGTCACGCCCAGGGGGCAGGTACACGCCTGCTGGCACCCCAGTCCAAAGAAGCCCGGCTCGCACTCTGCAGGGGAGAAGGGAGAGGGTCTTGCAGGGTTCAGCCAGCCCCGGGGCCCTCCCGCCCCCCGCACTCACCGTCCTGGCACCGCTCGCCCCTGAAGCCCGCCTTGCAGGCACAGCGGCCGTCCCTCCTGTCGCACGCACGTGTGTTCCTCTGCTCACACCGGCACTCTTCTGAGCAGCCCGGCCCGAAGGCCCATGGGGGGCAGGCTGCACCCACAGAACTGTAAGGTAGGCCTGCCCACTGCCTCCCCCATCCAGGGTCCCCAGCCCCGTTCACTGAGCTGTGTCTGGGACCCCGCGCAGAGCCGCTGGGATCCTGGAGAGCTGTGCTGTCGTGCTGATTTCACAGCCCAGAAGCAGGGACTCAGAGGCTCTGGGATCTGCCCTGGGTCCAGCGCTTCCCAGCAGGAAACGCTCGGAGTCCCCATTTCCCTGCCTTAAACATCCTTTTACAAAAGCCGCTGGGATGAAGTCCGCTTGCCAGTTACCCAGCTCTTCTCCACCTGCCACCCGCTCTCCCAGCCTCTCCCATCCCCGGCGTCTGTGGACCCAGGGCGGGTGACCCCACCAGGGGTTCAGGACTCGCCCTTGCAGCCAGGAAACTCCAAAAGCCCAGATGAGCCCTGCATCCCGGACGCTTCGGAGGGAAGCCTGCCCCTGCCCACACCTGTAGCACCCCCATCAGCCTGGCTGGGGCTGGGACCAGCCACCTGGACACTTGGAGGCCAGGGCAGTCCAGAGACCCATGGCAGACCTCACACCCCAGCTAGGGACCTCGCTGAGCCCCTGGTCCTCATCTGTAAACGGTGATGGTGGAACCCAAGCCGGACCACGGGCAGGAAGGCGCGGGAGCACCTGGCCCATGCTGTGGCACCGCCTCCCGCCCCCAGACACGCGGCCAGCGGGCAGCAGGACTCACCCAGGTGGCAGAAGCGGCCATAGAGCCCTGGGTCGCAGAGGCAGGCCCCGTAGAGGCGGTGGCACCGGCCCCGGTTGGCACAGTGGCACTTCTTGCGGCAGTGTTTGCCATAGAAGCCCTTGGGGCAGCCTAGAGAGAGGGGGACTCTTGACTGCCCACCTGGACACGGCCCCCACCCGAGGAGATGCTCCAAGGGGCCCCAGTGTTCAGCACATGAGGCAGGAATGGCACAGGCCACCGGGGCGCGGCCAGAGGGCTTCAGGCCACCAGCAGCCCGAGGGCCCTGCACCGCAGACAGGGCAGTCCCGGGGGTGGCAAGGGCATCACGAGGGCAGGGCAGGCATCACAGGAGCCCCAGGGACACGGCCGTCTGCCCTGGGCCCCCAGGGTCTGTGGCCTGGACGGTGGCCGGGGTGGGAGACCAAGTGCATCCCCAGCACTTGTGGGAGACGCTCTCCCTGTCTGAGCGGCACCTACAGCGTTCTGACATCCGTCCCTGGGTGGTCACCCAGCCTGACCTCCGGACCTCACGGGGGAGGACACAGGCCCAAGCACAGGGGGCTCAGGGTGAGGAAGGGGCGCTGGTTTTCCGTCCCCAGGGGCTTCCCTCCACCTCAGTCTGGCCCCCTTCCTGCCTCCTGAAGGGCCCCAGGGAGCTGGCTCGTGACCCCAAGGTACATCCACGTCCTGATCACCAGGCTCTCCAGGTGGGACCATCCCGGATTGTCCGAGGGGCCTAAATCCAACAACTGTCCTTAGAGGAGAAAGGAGGAGGAGGCTGGAGACAGGAAGAGGGGCCACAGGAGGACGGAGGTAGAGACTGGAGGGAGCGGCCACAAGCCGGGACACGGGGGTCTAGGAACCCGGTACAGAGGCCCCTGGAAACAGAGGCTCACCTGGGGGGCACGCTTTACACACAGGACCCCAGCGAGACCGAGTCTCCAGGGAGCCACACCGCATCGCAAGGAGAAGTACCACCACGCAGACCCTCCATCTGCCGGCATCCCCTGGGCCGTTCAGGGCCCTACACGCACAGCCGCCAGCAGGCGGGGGTTTTCAGCCCTTGCCGGAGTAGAAGTGGCAGATGGCCAGAGAAGGCAGGGACGGACCAAGAAGCTGACCAGAGGGAGGAGGCCGAAAGCCCTGCCTGGTGCCCCGGGGCTTCGAGCCCTGCCGCACAGAGCTCACACTGGCCACCCAGGCGCTGGGGACGGGGCCCGGCCACTACCACCTGCTGCTACGACGGGAAGTCCTTGACACATGAGCTACGTTTGCTGGCAGAAGGTCTGAGGAGCCGGCCGCCTTCCTTCTGCAGCAGTGGGGGGTCTTCTTCTGAAGCCCAGGAGCTGGGAGGTGGCGCCCCCCCATCCCACCAGGACGGCCCCCGGGGCACAGAGGGCTGCACCCACCATCCTCGCAGTGGGCCCCGCTGACACCCGGAGGGCAGCGGCAGGCCCCCGTCACAGGGTCGCAGGTCCCGCCGTTCTGACAGCTGCAGGAGAGGCTGCAGTTCTTCCCGAAGGTGTCGGAGGACAAGCTGCAGTGGGACAGAGAGACACGAGGGTCACCAGCCCGCAGGGCTCTGGGCCCAGGAGTCTCTCCAGAGACCCTGAGACACCCTCTGGGGCTCACGCCTCCCCCCCTCGGCAGCACCTGCCCGGAGCAGCCACCGGTGGCGCCCGCGCCCCATGCCCCCGCCCACACGCATGGCAGGCATCGCTAATCGATCACCACATCCTCTCCCCCTCTGACCGCCCACCTTCTCAACCAGCACTTTCAGAGACAGTCACTGTGGCCTTGAGACAAAACTACCACTGCCATTCGGGCCTGGGGTCGCTGGGCAGGGAGCGGACAGCCTCCGGACAGAGGCTGGGAGAGCAGTTTTCACGCATTCTCCAGCTACCATCATGCTGCATGGCTTGGGGAGCCATCGCCCCCTACCCCGAGGTTGTGGGCACGACCAGCCCACCTGCCCACTGCTCCTCCTCAGACCCCTCGTGTCTTAGTTATTGGCTGGCTTGTCACTGGACCCTCGTTGACTGTGACGTCTGTGAGGGGCAGACACCCGGCCCTGCCAGCCCCCAGGGCCTGGCACGGGGCAGGCAGCCAGGAGACCCTGAGGAGTGAGCGAGTGGGCCAGGCAATGTGGGCCAGCAGGCGGGACTGAGCCGGACGTGCTGTGCACCCGGTCCCCGCCCCCGCGCCCGCAGCAGCCTCACTCTCGTTGCAGACGAGCCCGGTCCAGCCGTCGGGGCAGTCACAGCCGTCCAGCCCTGGGAGGCAGGTCCCTCCATTCCTGCAGTCTTCACAGGTCAAGCTGCAGTCGGGGCCAAAGGAATCGTCCAGGCAGACTGGGGGGGGCAGGCCAGGGGAGGGGCCTCAGATCCTGAGCCGGGGCCCAGAGCCCATCCGGGCTCCGGTGCACAGAGGTCGGCTCAGGCCCTCAGGCCAGAGAAGGGGACACAAGGGGTGTCCTCAGCCCAGAAAGGCCCCACATGGGCAAACTGAGACGTGGAAGCCAGATGCTGGGGCCTGGTAGAGCCCAGAGTGAGGCGCTTGGGGCCCCAGCCAGCCAGGCTCCGCCGCAGACGTGCTGGGCCAGCTGAACAGGCAGCTTGGCCTCTCTGAGCCTCGGTCAAACGAGGCTATCGCGGGGGCCCTTCCTCGCACCCAAGACCACAGGGTGGGCAGCAGCCTGGCCCGAGGGGGCACTGGGACAGAAGCCCCGGGGATGGGCCCCCCCTCTCACCAAACTTCTCCTCCAGTGTGTGCTCGCCCCGGGCCTCTGCCTCCTCCTCCTCCTCCTCTTCCTCCTCGGCCCCGAAGTAGTCGTCTTGGAAGAGGTGGGGCAGCTGGTCCTGGAGCACCGTGATGGGCGGGAGGGGCCGCAACAGGGGCAGGTGGCCGTCCAGGCCCACCTCGGGCACCTCCAGGGCTGGGGGGGGCACAAGGACCCCTGAGTCCCTGCCGCCCACCTGTCCTCCTCAGGGCTGTGCCCAGAGGAAGCGCAGGGCCTGAGCCACCCCAGGGCTCCCACTTACAGCCCCCGCCACGCCCCTCCCCACCCCTGTGGCGGAGGCCATCCCAGCTGTGCCCCTGACCCTACTCCTCAGGACAGAGGAAGCTCCAGGCCCCAAGGACCGGACCCATGCCACATGCACCCCAGTCGCCCTGGCTCCCACACTGCCCTAAGGACCCTGAGCATGCAGCAGGTGTGGGGACAGGGACAGCGCTTTGTGCCTCTGGACACTGTCCTCAGTGCTGGAAATGGTGTCTCTTCTCTCACCTGGGCAGGGTAGAAGCCAGACCCGTGGGAGCCCTGAGTAACACCCTGCCCTGGAGGTGCCTGTCTGTCCAGCCCCCTCCCCCCACCTGCTGCCCCGGGGCCGTCCCACAGCGAGACACAGGTCTAAGGTGGGGGTCCAGCTAGCCAGGAAGATGGGCGTGGGGGCACCTGGAGAGGCGCCAAGAAGTTAGGGAGCATGGTGCTTCTGATGGACAGGATCCCGGGGGCGCCAGGTGGAGACTCACGGGTGCAGCCCCTGCGATCCTCATCCAGCCAGTAGCCGGCCTCGCAGGAGCACTGGAAGGAGCCAGCCAGGTTGGTGCAGTGATGCTCACAGCCACCCCGGCCGGAGGCACACTCGTCCACATCTGCAGGCAAACCCAGCCTGTCCTGGGGGGTCGGGGACTCAGGAGACCCCTGCCGCCCCAGCCCTGCCCATCGGACTGTGGCCTGGTGGCCACGCCCGCTGGGCGACACACCAGTCATCCCCTCTCCCCAGGGGCAGAGGGACAGTGGAGGCACTGCCCGAGGGAGGCCAGGCTGGGAGCAGCCAGGGGTGCAGTGACCACAGGTCAGGAGGGAGCGGGCAGGTCCCCACAGCCCTGCAGTCAGCAGGTGCTCAACCAACATCCAGAGACGGAGCACGGTGGGCAGAGCCAACCCCACGTCATCCTGAGGGCGGCCCGTCCCCCTGGCCTCCCCAGCTGCCCAGCACTCACCCTCACAGCCGCAGCCATCGGTGCTGAGCCGGTAGCCGGCGGAGCAGCTGCACTCGTACCCGCCCGGGCTGTTGGTGCAAATCTGCTGGCAGCACGGGGAGTCGGCACAGTCGTCGACGTCTGCAGGGCACACGCATGAGCCCAGTGGCACCCAGGTGCCCGCCTACGTGTGCCCCGCCTACGTGTGCCCCGCCACAGCACACCAGTGCATGCATACCTGCACACGGCCACACACCTGCACACACCCACAGGCTCACCTGCAGGAGTTGCATGTTTTCACACACAGTCACACATGCACCCAGGTAGGCTCCTGGTCCTGCACACACAGACACATGCAGGACACAGGTCACAGCCCCAGGGCCACCCCGCCTGCTCTGGGGTCAGACTGGCGGCTGGAGGGCAGGGGGGAGCCATTGTGGAGGCAGGCTCTCCCGTATGGAGGGGGTGCTCAAGCACCACAGTGCTTCGGGCTCTCTCCCAGTATGTGGGCATTTAACCAAGCGACTGAGCAGAGCTGGAGAGGAAGGTGCTGCTGGGGCCAGTAGGGTGATGGGTGCTTGGCGGTATCGGGCTCTCTCCAGGCCCCCCTTACCATTACCCCCCAGCTCAGGGCAGAAAGCAGAACTGGGGGTGGAGGGGCAGACCCGGGGCAGCGGTGAGTCCCTGGCTTTGGGGACAAGGCATTTGGGAAGGGGCGGGTCATTCGGGAAGGGGCAGGGCAGTCGGGAAGGGGGCAGAGCGCACCAATGCATGTCTTCTGGTCCTTGTCCAGCTCGTAGCCACGGGGGCAAGTGCAGACGGGCCCCGAGCTGCTGTGGCTGCAGCCATGGGAGCAGCCGCCATTGTCAGCCTCACAGCTGCTCACAATCTCCATTTCAATCCCTGCGGCAAGACCCGCCACCAGGGTCGTGGGACAGGGTCTGGGGTGACACCCTGACCTAGCATGGTCCTCCTGACCCCAGCAGCTGCCGCTCTGCTGGGAAACAGGCCGCACAGGGCTTCTAGGCCAGGCGGGCATGGGAACCCCTTGTCCTCCTGGGGTCCCTCATCCTCCCAGGGTCCACCCACAGCCCCCATGCCCAGCACTGCACTTGACTGACAAGGAAGCTCTGCTCCTCAGCCAAAGCTAATGGCGGCAGGTGGGGGGCTGGGGAGCCATGTTGCCGCCCCCAGGCACCCCCACGCCCCTGATCCCTGCCCACCGTCCACTCACGGTAGCACTGCCGGCCATCGGCACCCAGCTCATAGCCTGCGTTGCACACACACTTAAAGGACCCACGAGTGTTGAGGCAGCCGTGGGCACACCGGGCCAGGCCTGTGGCACACTCATCCACGTCTGAATGGGAGAGAGCAAGGGGGCGGGCTCTGGGCCACTGGCCTGGGAAACTCGGCCCCCGGGGTGGTGCCTTAGTGTGGAGAGGCCCCTGCTGAGGGGCCAGGGCTCAGGCCCCCTGTGCCAGGCCAGAGGCCCCACTGCCCTCTCCCGCCTTTGCTCTGAGCATCTGTGTTTTCGTCAACAAGCTCCAGGTGCAGAGCTGCGCTCCCTCCCAGGGCGCGGAGGGTGTGGTTGGAAGTCCGCGCTCAGGCCCGGCCAGCAGCGCCGGGCAAGGGGCTCCGCCTCCCTGAGCCCGCCGGCCCTCCGCTGTGCCCGGAGCACTCTTGCCAACAATCCCACCAGCATCCCAGGCCCAGCACAGGAGGGCTTTTCGCCACCAGCCTCTGGGGCGCCAGCGGGAGGAAGGGACGCCGACGCCCAGGCTGAGGCTACCAGCCTCCTCCCCGTGGCTGCACAGCACTGCCACCAGGACCAGAATCCCAGCATCCCCAGTGACTGTGCTGGAGTCATCAGAGTCTGCAGGACAGAGCTGACCCTCAGCCCTGTCTCCCACTGGGCCCTCTGAAGCCAGGGCATGCCCTTCCCGTTGGCATCAATGCCTGAAACGCTCTTGCCTGCTGTTGGTAACATGGAACCACGGCCTCCCACATCTGATGGCCAGGACGCCTCGGAAAATGACCACTGCCTGCCCTGACGTACGCATCACTTCAGGGACTCACCCAAGGGTTTCGGGGATGCCTACAGTCCCTTCCCCCACGCTGCTCGCCCAGAGCCGCGTGCCGCAGGGAGGAGCGCGGACCCCGAACGTCCTGCGATGGGGGGACTTCAGGAAACACGGTGCAGCCGCACAGCACATGCCCCACAGCCAAGAGGTCGGACCCGGAGTGCGTTCTAGAACGCTGGGCCCAGCGGGGCTCCAGGGTGATGCCAGATGTGCCCGTCAACCAACAAGCCCTGGAGACACCTGCAGGCCGACGCGGGGCGGGCATCTTACCTTCGCAGGCCTTGCGGTCCGCCGCCAGCTGGTAGCCCGCGTGGCACTCGCAGTGGGCGAGGCCCCGGAGCGCCCGGCACGTGTGCATACAGCCGCCGTTCCGGTCTGTGCACGGGTTTCTCCCTGCAGCCACAGCCAGGAGGGATGGAGGCAAAGAGAAGAGGTGCGGGGCTCCAGCAGGATTGGGGTACCTGCCCCAGGGCCTCTCATGAGGCCCCGAGCCCGAGCTCTCGCCCCTCCTGCTCTGGCCTGCCAGGCTGGGCGGCAGGCTGGGGTTCAGGCTAGCCCTCAGCCATCCCCAAGGAGACCCCAGAGAAGATAGCATGGCACTGGGCCAGCTGGTCTCTGGTCAGGCAGCGGGGACATGGCCAGTTCCTCCCACACTTCTTCTTGTCAGAGCCCCCAGCCCTGGGACCCCGTGCCACTGCCCCCACTGCTGGCCTCGGCCCCTTTGGCCCACGCTCACTCCTGACCCGGGCCCCAAGAAGCCAGGCAGGATGGGAGGTGCTCTCTCAGGACCTGCCCTGCCCCAGCCCCCCATTTCCACATCTCAGGGGTCTCCTGGGCCTGCTCGAACTTCTCTGTCAGCAGAGCGCCCTCCTTCCACGACAGGCAGCCCCGAGACCCCAGGCCATGGTGCCACATGGGGCCTGACCAGCCTCCTCCACACAAGGGCCAGAGCCTGGGTCTCAAGTGTCCACACCAAAGCCTATGGTGGGCCTTAGAACTGAGGAACATGCAGGATCCTCTTCCTCTTCATCCCCTGCACCCCCAGTCTGAGCTTCCTGTCCCCCAAAGACATGCGATCCCAGAGTACAGCCTAACTGAGTTCCTCCCCTGTGCCTACTGGGGCCTCTCAGCAGCCAGGGCCCCGCTGCCCGAGGCCCCCATCCAGCTTCGGGAGCCAAGGGGAGAGGACATCCTGCCCCTGCACTGGGCTCAGGCTGCAGGGTCCCCAGGCAGGCCTGCAGGTGCGTGGGGGCCTGGGGTCCCCGTGGGAGTCCCGGCCCCGGGCGTCCAGTCCCGAGGGCGGCTGGCACACTCACGGACGCAATGCTTGCCATCCTCCTGGAGCTGGAACTCGGGCCGGCACTGGCAGCGGTGCTGGGTCACCGTGAGCTGGATACAGCTGTGCTGGCAGCCGCCATTGCCCACGGCACAGGAGTTGATGGCTGAGGGCCCAAGAGGAGCCAGGTCAGCCCAGGAGGACAACCGGCCAAGGGGCCCCACGCTGGGCAGGCACGGAGCAGAGCACGACACTGGACCACCTCCTCCAGGACCCTCCAGGACCCTCCAGGACCCACCCAGCCCCTCCCATGTCTGTCTCCATCCCAGAAGCAGGGACTTTGAGAGGGTGACCCTGTTCCTGTCCAGTTCACGGTGCCTGGCTTTGCTTCTCGGCTCACACACAGGACCGTGGACCGTCTCTGGACCCCCCTGGCCCAGTCTGCCCCAGGACCAGGTGTAGACAGGCGCCACAGAGCTCACCGCCCCCCACCAATGGAAGTTCAGTGCCAGCCAGTACAGGATGCAGAACACCAGGGCCCCGAGAGCCAGGGCCACCAGGGCTCAGAGCCCGAGCAGGTGGAGGCTCCCCGGAGGAGGCAGCAGGCCAGAGACCCAGACATCCCATTATCTTGGTCATCAGGCCAGGGCAGAGGGGCGGGGAGGGCCTCCATGGACGGCCACCATGGCTGCAGGCCTGGCCCCAGCTCCTGACCGAGAGCAGCTCCTGCCCACCCCAGGCCAGGCTCTGCCCGCTGCCTGCCCTCACACAGTGCCCGCTCCTCCAGCAGCCGTGGGGACAGCACGTGGTGAGGCCACAGAGCCAGGGGCCTGCGTCCCAGCCCCAGGACACCAGGGACCCAGGTGTTCCCGCTCAGGCCCACACAGGGCAAGGGCCCTACAGGTCAGGTGGGCCGAGTGGGTGTCCATGTACCGGGTGGACAGGCAAGGGGCACTGGGAGAGGCTGGGTACCCAGGGAGGTCACCCAGCCTCTGGTGGCTCCTTCAAGTCGGTGGTAGTGTCCTGGAGGTTCGGGAGGCATCAGCCCTGTGCTCTGGAGCAAAGCTTCCAGAATATGCCGCGGGGGAGGCGCGGCCGACCACCCAGCAGGCCTGGACCACAGCAAACCTCGGTCCCATACGAAAACGCCGCAACCACTAGGGGGCAGGGCTTCGCCCCCAGATGCCACCGGTGCTGTCGTCACAGACCCCAGGGGGCCAGTGGCCTCAGGGCCCACGTGTGGGAGGCCACCGACTGTCGCTGAGTCTGGAGACCAGGCGTGGCAGGCCCTGCACCGCTGGGAGCAGGAGCTCCGAGGCCCGCAGAGCCGGGAGCAGCCCTGGCAACCGCACGCAGAGCACGTGAGCGGCCTCGGGCTCTGACAAGGCCGGGCCATGCCGTCTGCCAAAAGCAAGGCTTCCTCCAAAGCAAGTATGTTCTAAAAAAGCCAAACGACAGCGCTTACGATCCAGCCGTCTCCCGACATGGGGCACGTGGCTGAGGAGCCCCTGCTGAGGGTCTCCGCCAGGGCCAAGCCAGCCCTGCTGGGCCAGGGAGGACGCCCTGGAGGGTGGCGACGGCTGTCTCCAGGCTGCACCTGGCCCTGCCACGTGTGCGGGAGGAGCAGAGACACGCGTCCCCGGTCAAACAGGGCCAAGCAGGGCAGCCACCGTCTCCTGCCCCCGTCGGCCTCTGGGCCCCCTCCCCATCCACCGCCCCCCGACCCTGTGCTGACCCCCAGGACCCCGCCTGCCTCTCCCGAGACAGCTCTGCTTAAGTCACCGCCGTCACCCTAGAGACGTCCGAGCCTGGCCCGAGCCGGCCCACTCTCGGGGCCCTGTTTGTGTTCACAACACCAAGAGCATCCTGCTCAGAGCTCATAATAGGAACCAGAAGGTCGTCCTGGCAGCACGGGGCAAGCACACGGAGAGAGGGGCTTGGAGCCTGGGGCCGGGGAGGCGGCTGCAAGGATGACCCCCAAAGCTGCGGCGGGGCTGGAAAGGAGCCCTCCCTGATAGGCAGAGCCCCTGAGCCAGGCCCGGGGCAACCCAGCACCAGGCCTACCGGAGCCCACCGGGGGAGAAGTCACCGGCAGATGGAGGCCGTGGAGGGGTCCGACTCCCCGCACAGCCTCGCACCCTCCCAGGCCTGTCTCTTGTTGCTCTGCTGCATAAGCGCTAATGCTCCAGCTGCTCCCAAGCTGTGCACAAGAGGAAGCCAAGCCCAGTGTCATCACCCTGCACATCCTGCGCCGTGATTCCCGGAAAGCTGAAGGCACGTCTTCTCAGGCGCTGGGCTGTGCAGCTCTGGGGAGGGCCAGCCTCTGCGTGACCAGGGCCCAGAGCTGGGGGTGAAGATCTCAGGCCCCTCAGGTCACTTCAAGAGCTGGCCATGGAATCCAAGTACCACTGACCCATGCCTGGGCAGTCCTGCAAATCAGGGCCAGGCTCAGACCTGAGAGCCCATTGGAAAATGGGAGACGAGGGGGTTTCATAGCCCCTAATGGGATTAATGTCTGTGTGATCCTAACAGTCATACATGGGCTCCTAAAATTAAACCACCAATGTGAACGTATTTGGAAGTAGAGTAATTTAGGTTAAATGAGGCCGTAAGGGTGGGGCCCTGACCCAAAAGGATGTGCGTCCTTGTGAGATGAGACACAAGATCTCTCTGTCTCTGTGTCTGTCTCTCTGGTGACCACACAAGGAGACAGCAGAGGGACAGCCAGGGGATGCACTTCCCTGCTTGCAAGCCTCAGGACCATGGCCTTGGCCAGGGGACTTGCGAGTCCTAATAGAGCGGGGCTGCACCTCCGCCTTCAGCCAGCAGGAGCCGCCCTAGTTGCCCCATGTGCGAGGGGTGCAGCTCTTGAAAGGGAGTGGAACTTGACTCGAGCAGGAAGCTGGATATTCTAGAAACCAAATGTCCCACAGGGCAGAGGACTCGCTCTTCCTGTGCCAGGGGGTCTCTGCTCTTGGAGGTGCAGGTGGCAGCACCTGGGACCTGGAGCCCAGCATCAGGTGTACCTGGATGGGGGGAAGAAGTGGCAGGTGGGGGCTCCGGGTAGCTAACCTCCGAGGCTGCTCCGCTGGCAGGGCCCTGGCCTCCGAGCCCGGCACGCCAGCTGCCCAAGCTGGTCAGCCAAGCGGCTGGGCCTGGTGGGCTGGCGGTGTGAGGACAAGTCTGCGGGCGGGCGCCGAGCCCACCAGCCCACTCTGCTCCAGCCTCCAGGCCCAGCCCGTGGGTTTGGAGCAAACTCGAGGGTGGCTCTGGTTCCCGCTGGCCTCGTGGGTTTTGAAATTACTGCCCTCAGACTGCCTTGGTTTCTAGGTCCCAAGAGCCTCGCGCCACATGTGGTCAGCTGGCACCGCAGCCTTTCCTTCTAGGAAGCCAGCTGCTGGCGACAGGGCGAGACAGCAGGGCAGGCACGGGTGGCCCGTCTGGTTCGGCCGTGAGGGGAAACTCACCGGGGCCCTGCCCGCCCCTCCCACTCGGTAGCTCGCGGTTTGCCTGCGGCTCTGCCTGGGGCGCGCTGCCCTCGTCCCCCACCCTCGGGATGGGGCCTCCACGCTGCACAGGGCGTGGTTCTCTTGCCGCATAAGCAGCAGCCCTCGGCCATGAAGAGAGCCAGGGGCTGGGACCCGCCCCAGCATCACAGACTGCACGCCGCCAACCGGCACCCGCGCCCGGTCCCAGGCAGAGAAAGCACCAAAGCCGGGCCCGGGCCCCACCCAGAGCCACCCACGTCACAGGCAAGAACAGCCCCCCAGCACCGTCCCGATGCGGTCCACAGCTCCCACGCCTCCCCACTTGGCTCTCCCCCGTCAAGCCCACTGACTCCAACCTGCCTGGGTCCTGCATCCGGCCTGGGCTCTGTGGCCACTGCCCTGGGTTCCCTGGGTGGGGGTGTGGCCCTCCCCTCACCTCTGGGTGCTGGCAGCCCACACTACGAGGGGTCTGGTCTTGGGCACAGCTGTGACCTCCCAGGTGGTCTCTCGCGCAGGGCTGCCCCTCCTGCTTCCCGTTCGGACCCAGCGGCACCTTGGGGCTGGGAAGGCACCCTCTCATTTTGAAACTACAGTCTGTTTTGGGTCTGGGGGGAGGCTGGAAAGCGTTCCCAGAACGGCATGTGTGGCTTTGCAGGGATGAGCTTTGCAGACAAGCCTGATGGTGTCCATCTCTCTGCCGCCTGCGGCTTTCGCGCCCGCCCCACATGCTGCCAACAACAGCCTCCAAGGAGCCAGCAAAGAGCAGGCTGCAGGCCCCAAGCAGCCCCTCACCGCCCCCTCGCTGGGGAGACCCAGGCCTGGGAGAGCGTCTGCCCAAGGTCACGCGGTGCCCCTGTGGCAGAACCCCAAAAGCAGGGGTGGGGAGACCCTCCCCGTGCTGGGGGCATAGCATCAGACTCCAGGGGCAGGACCCTCACTCAGGCAGGGGCAGCCAGGCCACGGGGGGGTGCATGCTGACAGCAGAATCCTCCCCACAGCGTCCATCCAAAAGGTCCAGCAGGCCTGAGGCCACGGGGAGGAGGAGGATGGAGAGCCCACCTCTTGCAAGTGGCCGACCCAGGGCATCACTCGGGACCCTCTGCTGATTGAGCCAGCGGCATCGTGGTCCCTCAGACTGGCCCCAAAAGTGTTGCTCATCACAGGGGACGTGCGGGACACTGAAAGGGACCCCTGGACAGAAGTCACGCTGGCTCAGAGGAGGAGGCTTTCCCAACTTGAAGTGTTCAAGGACCCTGGAGCTGGCCTCTGTGGGTTTGCAGGGGCACGCAGTGAGATGTGACAGGACAGCAAGAATGACGCCTCTGGACGCGTTGCCTGGCACTGCTCCCAGCAGCCGTTTCCCACAATTTGGGGAAGGAAAGGGGCGCACTTCACGCCCCTGTGGGTGAGAAGCTGGGGGCCAGCCTTGGGCCTCACTCGGCCCTGCTCTTCCCATCCCAGAGCCTGGAGGGACAAACCCAGGAGGGAACCCTGGTGGTGGAGCGCCCACAGATGCCTGGCTGCCTCAGTTTCTCTTGGGGCCAGGCTGGTGGGGGAAGCCGGGGAGGATACAAGGCACTCATGGGCCTTGGGGTTGATGGCAAAGTCCATACAAATTCTCACTTTAAGAACTGAAACCTTCTCGTGTTTTATTTCTGTAAGATCTTTTGCAAGAGAGGGATGCAAGAAGACTGCGGTCTTCTTGTCTCCTCCCTGCCTCCGAGGCAACTTTAAAGACTGTTTTAAGCCTCCCCTTGTTTGTTTCAGGGCCCCCTCAAGCACCACTACCTTGAGAGACTTCTCAGCTCCCTGGGGCCCCATGACATGGCACCAACCTGAGAGCTCCCAGCGCACAGGGCAATCCCACCCCGTACTGAGGAAGGACTGACACATCCCTGCGGGCACCTTCCCTACCCCCATTCTCCAGCACCTCCATAATCCTCACTTCAAGCTGCTTGAAGGGGGTGCCCAGGCCTGTTCCCTGCCTGGCTGCAAAGGAGGGCTTACAGCACCCCGCCCCCTCCCCCAGAAGGCCCCCTGGGGAGGGTTCCAGAGCAGCCTTACTCCAGCTGTGCAGCCGGTCCCACAGCTGGCTGGCGTCGGGGAGGGGAGGGTTGGGGAGGGGCACAGCTCCTACACTGATCTTTCCATAAACGTCTGCTGAGACCCTAGGGTGGTCTGGGCTCAGAGGGTGCCACTGTGGACCACAGACAAGGCCACCAGCTCCTCCCCGCACCCTGCAGCCTGGGAGTCCTGGAGGAGAATCAGGGAGGGCCCACATCCCCCAGAGGCAGGAGGTTTAGCTGCCCGGCAGGGGCCAGGCAGTGCCCTCCACCCAGCCCCCACCTGGAGGCCCTCGTCTGAGATCGGAGGTGCTGGGCTGTCCTACCCACCCAGAGCCAGGAGGTCAGGTGCACCGGAGCGGGGTTCCCCTCTACAACCAAAACGGGGCACATTAGGGAGGAGGCATCCGCTTCCAGG